CTTATCGGTTGAGATTTTTTTTTTTTTTTCCTTTTGAAAGATACAGGAGCAAAACAATTAATCTATTGGAAGTTTTTTAAGTATCTCATACAAGTCAATGTGTGGTGACAAGGAATAAGCTTAGGATGCTTGAAGTGTAATTATTTAACTTTTTATTACACTCAACATCTCATAATGGAGTAAATTATATATTTATTTTCTGTACTATGTAGGTTAAATTTTGTTGCAAAAACACATCATATAGATGGTTTTTTTGGGGGAAAAACAAGTCATTTTCAACTTCTTAAAGTGGGAACCCATTTTTCATATTAGAGAAATTTTGGAATATAAAAAATTTTGTGCCTAGAAATTTCAATCATCAATGGAATTAAATGTGGGTAACATAGTGCATCACCAACACTAGCATACTAATAAAGATTGGAGTGACCACTTGAATAAAGGTGGCAATAATGTACATACTCCTTTTGAATAACATTTAGAGTGTGTTTGGTAGATATTAAAATCGAATTAAAATTGAAAAATTAGTCGTTATTGTTGACTTTTATTAGATGGGTGGAACCCAATAACGGCTATATTTTTAATTTTAGTTGAATTTTTAGTGTTACCAAACAAGCCCTTAAAATGTTGCAGATTTTAAGCAATTACTTTGGAAATAATAATTAGGGTGTGTTTGTCTTCCATTATTGGGAGAAAAAAATAGAGTAATGAATAGTATTTTTTGGAGAATGTGTGGTTAAAAAGTAAAATAACTTTATTGGTTTGTGTGTAGAATATTTTATTGGGTGAATGTGCGGTGGAGAATCTTACTATAGCAAACAATTTTTTGGAATAATGGTAAACAATCTTAATATTATTAATCATGAAATTTTTTATTTGAAAAGCCTCTTGACGATACTTTTTTGATGAAACCACAAAAGAAAGATTTTTTACAATGCGATTTTCATTGTTAAAATTGAAATTTCTTTTGTTGCCAAATGCTATCGCATGCAAAGATATGTACTATCACAAATTAGACGGGTTTGTTCACAAATCTGAAATCTATATGCTTTACTATAGCGTATCTTTGGTTGTGACGGGCAATTCTTAAGAAATTAGCTACAGAATATGCCCGTGTCTTTATTTTCATGGCTCATTGTTGTTTTTCATTCAAACGTAAGTAACGAGAAATAGATTGTTTCATTGTTTGAATAAAATAAAAAAAAAAAAAAAAAAGGAAAAAAAGAAAAAAA